TCACCATGTAGAGGGGAAACAACGCCAGGCAAAACTGATGTTGCAAACCTCACCATGGCCCACACTGAGGATTCCTACAATACTCCAATCCTCGGTTTACCATGGCAATTCCCATGAAATTAGGTGGTTTTCTTACCAGGCTTTGACTAGTCTGAAGATTCCATTGCGGCCCAGATTTTTCTCTTTTTATTCTAATGGACCACACTGTTTGAAACAATATCAATGTATTTTTCTAGTCCTTTTCATTGAATGTTTATGAATTATATGTGATGTTTGTAGGCCACAGACATGGACCAAAATGAACAAAAGGTGAATCGGTGCAAGCCTGTTCCTGTTTTTTACACTTTCTCAGTCTTGTGGTGATCATAGTGAGATTACCTCCCAGTGTTAACTGTTCCATGTTTCATCTTGGACTGGACATAGCCTTTACATTTAAATCTTGGTCCTCTTTTGTTCATTCATTTTCCAAGTCAGGGTATTGCTTGCGCCAGATTAGAAAAAGGCCCAGCATGTAGGAGCTTTTCTCCCCAAAGAACAGCTGGCTAGCAATCTTGTGATAGTTGGAGAGTCCCCAACCAACATTACACTTAGGTGGAAGGACCACTTGAATGTGGGCTTGGGTCCTAATTATAAGCCACCCTCTGGGCTTAATGTGAAGGAGCAGAGCACTGGTAGTGCAGGGAGGTCATTCACTGCTGCGCTGCTCATCCATTTGTGCAAATGTGTCAAACTATCTAGCAAGTGAAGGCCCTTCTCCTGCTTCATTTGGTGAGTTCCCTTTGTTTCCTCAACCACCCTGGCCTGGATTCTGATGCTATATAAGAAAACCTGTCGTGTGATTTCTTCACCTGCTTCTGGGCGACCCTCATGCTACCCATTCACAGCAAAGCAGAAGCACCTGGTGTTGTGTTGTGGGCCATCCCGTGCCCCCTGGAATAGAATTCAAATTCTGTTCTGAAATTCAGTAGGAAAAGAGGTTACCTATCATTCCTGAACATTTTGTTTTTGTCTGTAAAAGTTAATTTGTCATTTGGTGTGTAAATCTTGGATTTCAGTTTAACTTAAGAGTAAAATATATTTTAAAATTATGCTAAGGCTTCAGGCTGCATGACAAGATACGGATGCTCGGGTAACCTGCTGGTACGATGTTAAAACAACATTATTTAAGGGTGTAACATCTGGAACCAAAGTAAAAGGAAAACCATTCACTTACCATTAGTGGATACTCTCCAGATCCTATTTTTCCAAGATTAAATAAATCCCGTGCCTTCAGTTCAACCCCAACACAGCAATTGTTATATAAATCACTACCAGGATATGATACTCCACCCTTCAAGAGCTTTGTTGTTTGCACTTAGGGTCAAATTAGAGGAATTATTTTATTATCGGTCAAAAAATTAACAGTCCTGAAAGTGAGTTTCTCCATCCGTAGCTCCGTTGCCTGGACCCTGGAGGGTTAGAGAGCTCCCAAGATGCCTGCACCATTGGGCTCTTCAGGATGGACCCCGCTGCTCTGGGTGCTTGCCTTTGTCGGACAGGAGGTTCCCCCCACCCCACCCCACCCCACCCCTGGCGATTCCTTGTTGTGGCTGATAAGTGGGCGAGAGGCAAACAGCGTTGGTTGTTGGTTCTGTTAGCTGGAAGGCTGGTTGCTCTTCATATGTATAATAGTGTGATAAGAATCTCTTCCTTTGTCAAGCCTCTGACAGCTACTCGTAACCAGAGTCTCATTAGTCAGATTTATTGAAAGGAAGAGGGGTTCAGTTACAGAATCATGGAAAATGGAGGGGTGTGCCCCATTTATCAGTAGGTGTGTAAAGTGGGGGGGTTGCTCTTTGGTCCTCATCCTAACTGCTTCCTGCTGAAGAAGAGATGTTTGCTGCCTGATAAGGAAGTCATGGAGAGATGGTCTGGCCATGCAATATTTTGCAAACCACCACCTCCATTTCCAGATTCAGATAATTCCCCTGCAATTTCCTGTTGCTGAATACCTGTTTCTCATCATTCAAGTATCCTTAGAAAGGAGGGGTTGGAATTTAAATCCACTCAGGAATCCATTGTTCTGGGGAATCATACTAGCCCTAACTCAACCCAGTTATATCTAATGACATTCTAATGGGAATAAATAAGTTTGGCCTCCCATTTTTTTGCTAGCATCATTCAAGTATCCTTAGAAAGGAGGGGTTGGAATTTAAATCCACTCAGGAATCCATTGTTCTGGGGAATCATACTAGCCCTAACTCAACCCAGTTATATCTAATGACATTCTAATGGGAATAAATAAGTTTGGCCTCCCATTTTTTTGCTAGCCAACAGAAGGTCTGGAGTCCACAGCGCAAAAGGTCTATTCCTCTAATGTAGTATATAGCATTTATAGTACATTCCTCTATAGGCTGATCAGATGTCTTCGTGCCCTTTTTGTATGCACAGGTTAAAGTGGCAATGGTCAAGGTAATGAGTTAATCCAATCAACATAACGACAAATGTACAACAAATGTACGGAAGTGCTAGGCCAAAAGTGCTTTTAAACCTTCCCAAATCAAGTCCCAGGAAACATTTTTCTGTATCAAACTTGGGGCACGTCAGAGCCAAATAGTGGTGGAGACTGGACAATAGTTTTTGAAGGTCCTATAAGCAATTCTAAATCATGTATTTCATTTCAGAAGGTGAGGTCTAATTGCTTTTAATCCTTTGGCTAATGCAGTAACTAGGGCTGTGCAAAGACCCTTTCATCCCACAGACTCAGAGGAGTGAGAGAGGCAGAGAATAGCCAGGCACCAAGGCCTAGAGTCGAGTCAGCAAAGCAAAATATAACTGACATCCACATCTTAGAATTATAGGACTTGAAGGGGCCTCTTACCCATTAGCCGGTTGCATTCTCCGTTAAGCGCTGGGCGGTGATTCTCTCCCTTTTCACTTGTCCATATCTAAAGAAGCCCCTTTCGTTCTTCTCAACATTTTGGCCAGCTGAGTCTCAGCTTCAGCTCCCGGGTTCCCCACCTCTCCTTTTCCTTCTGGCCTGCCCCCTTTCTACTCCTGGGTCATTCTTTGGTTCGCAGAGCTCACTGCTTCAGTGGCATGGCTTCCTCGTAAGAGCGGTTTCCAGCTATGCTGTTAGTGTCTTTTTTTGGCATGCCCCAGCCATCATGAACCCATAGCTCCCCCATGGACTTCAGTTCTAGTTTCCCTTCATAAAACCAAGAATCCCGGTATTGCATTTCCCTGGATGGTCCTTCCACTTCTTTGACAAAACCTTTCCTGCTGGCCAGCATCCTCACAAAGGGCTGATTTCCTCCCCGCCCCCTCCCTCCACCTCCGAAAGAGAAGGACAGGAGAAGAGCAGCCACGAACTTCAGGGCAGAGTCTGTCTCCCATCGTGTCACAGGAGTTAAACTCCCCCTTCGCTGCTACTTTGTGCCCACCTGAAAGACCTCCAGTTTGCAGCTGGAAGGCCACAGCCACTTCTTTTCCATGGCAGCCATGGCAGTGCCATTTTTATCCCTTCTCCCACACGGTACCCCAGATACTGTCAACAGTTCCACCAAGTTCATTTCCTTGGATTTCCCTGCAAGGGTTCTCTGGTTGGGTAGTGGAGCGTCTGCAGGCAGACAGCCAAGCTCGAAGAGCACCAAGGAGTCCACCGTTCAGCCAGGAGCTGCAGAGATTCTCTTCTGTTGGGGTTAAGCGTCTCTGGGCTGCCTCTCCAGCAAGGATGAAAGCTGCATGTCGGTGGCTTGAATCAGACAGCTGAATGGAAGATTGCTCAAGTTGCCGGGCTGCACGGCCACTGCGGATCCCAAACCCCCAAATCAGTGCAAATTTTGGATGGGGAAACGTTCATCTCCCTCCCTCTCAAATGCAGACTATGAGAAGCCATCAATAATTGAAACTTTTTATGGTATTGCTTCTCTTTACTTACAGTGGTGATGTCAGTAATGAGAACTAGATTCTTGTCAAAGTAATTGTGAATAATCATAATTATTCAACGCTTTAGGGATCTAAAAAGCAAGCTTGACTTCTAGGGAGGGAAGAGAGTAGGGAATGGAAGCATTCTGCAAATATTGATCATCCCAGACTGGAATTGATCCAAATTCCTTGCAGCCTGGGTTTGGCATCCCTTCCCCCCTCCAATTATCAGTACACGAACAGCTTAATTATTAACCCTAGTTGAAGTGGGTTAACTTCCTTTAGAAGTTAAACCTACCCTAAAATTAAGCACATTTCCATACAACCCAATGTTGATTTGAGTTTCCATTTCAGTCCTTCAGGCACTGAGATACCAACTACTCCAGGAAAATTACAAGGTAGTTTTGTACCGAAAAAAGAGAAAAGAAATTAGTGAAAGAGAACAAGATGAAAGTCTACATTTTTTCCATGACAGTTGTTCTGGTTTCACGTTTGAGGAGTGCTGCAAATGGGATGGTAAGTGTGTATATATCTGCCTGCTTTTAACATTGTCCTAAAGATGCTGAATCTGGAGTCAGAACAGAGAGTAACTTGGGGATGTTGTGCAATGAATGACATCTCAGGAACAAAAAGACGTGGCCCAGAAAATGGTCCCGCGTGGCAGAGGGCCTCTTCCTTCTTACAGAGACCCGGGATCTTTCTATAAGGAGCAGATATTACAACTGGAAATAATGTATACAGTACACAGCGCTTTGCACTTTAGGAAGGATTTGATGAAGCAGGAATCAGGCATATCTTTCAGAAGAGAAAATTGGGAGCAAACTGTGAATCCCAGCTTGCCTGAAGGAAATAGGCAGTTCTGTCCGTGCGCTGAGATTTTGGGCTTCCTTGATAGAATTGCCTTCACCTCCATCTTAATCTCTCCCTAAAATAAAGCAGTGTTTGTCATAGCGGAGAATGTCATTTTGAAAAGAAAAAAAAATTGGAAAAACAGTTTCAGAGTATTGCCTTCTCTGGGAATCCCCCTCTTTCTGTTCTAATGGCTTTGATGACTCGAGCGGAGCAAGAGAGGACACGGACTGGCCCGGTGGAGTGGATTTGCAGGAACAAGTTGAGCAATTGGGACAGTCAGGAGATTCTGTTCTCTGCAACCTCCTGGAGTCTTTACTTCACCCTTGTTGAAGTTCCCAGCTGCTCCCTTTCATGCAGTTTCTTCTTCCTTCCCTCCCCCCCTCCCCCAATTCTGTTAAACGTGCTATGCTGTTATTAAGCTTACTTGGGAATTTTAGCTTCAGAAATAAAGAAGCAGGGTAATTGAGATAGGTGAGATTTTGTCTTGCAGGTTTTAAAAAAGCTCCCTGACTCTCAGTTTCCAGGAAGAATTAACAACCCATTTTACTCTTTGAAGCCCTTTATAACATGTGTTTCCAGATGAACTTAGTTGTGAAGCTGGATGTTGCTTGCCCTCAGACTCCCTTCATCATGTAAGGGCGGTGGGGAAGAGGAGACAGACCTGTGTGCTCGAAGCGCACTAGACCTGTCGTGTCGTGAAACAAGACCACCCAGCCATTCCGTTTATCCCAGACATTCATTCGTTCATTTATTTATTCATTCCATTTGTATGGCCACTCACTTTTGGTGGCTCACAATAATTGAAAACAAGTGGAAAACCAGGACAGAACCACCATGCCATGTCTAGGGAATGACAATTTTACATAAGATGCACAGGATGGACTTACCCAGCCCCCTGGCCCAATGCCTGGGAGAAGAGCCAGGTCTTCAGTATTTTATGAAAAGCCAGCAGGGCCAGGGCCATCCTAATCTTGGGGGGCAAGGGGGGGTGTTATGACAGAGAAGGCACGCTTCCTGCTTCCATAAGATGAGACTGTTTAATTGAAGGGAGCTGGAGCATGCCTGGCCTGTCCATCTCATAGGGCAGGCAGAAATAACTGCAGAGAGTTGGTCCCACAAATAACCTGGCCCTGTGCCATGAAGAGCTTCATAGGTACTAACCAGCACCTTCGATGAAGTAGAGGTATGGGAGATGGAGTATGGGGCACTGAGATATGCCCATAACTATCCATGTGGCTGCATTCCTGACCAGCTGTAGCTTCCAAGAGGTCTTCAAGGGCAGCCCCGTGTAGAGTGCATTGTAGCACCTGACTCAGTGGTAGTAGTTACAGGAAAGATCTGGGTGGCCTGGTGGACCACAGATTAAGCATGAACAAGCAGTGTGTCACAGCTACCCAAAAAAGCCAATGCAATTTGGGGCTGCATCAACAGAGGTATAATGTCAAGATCACACCAAGCGATAGTATTGCTCTGTGCTGCAATGGTCAGACCACACCTGGAATCCTGTGTCCAGTTCTGGTTGCCACAATAGACAAAGGATGCTGAGGAACTGGAAAGAGTACGGAGAAGAGCAACAAAGATGGTGAAGGGCTTGGAAGCTAAATCTTATGAAGAACTGGGTATATTTAGCCCAAACAAGAGAAGGCTGAGGAGTGACATGATAGCAGTCTTCCAATACTTGAAGGTCTGTCCCAGAGAAGAGGGTGTGGGTTTATTCTCCAGAGCACCTGAGGATAGGACAAGAACAAGCAGGTAGGAATGTGATCCAGACTTGAACTAAGGAAGACTTTCCTGCCAGTGAAAGCTCCTAAGCAGAGTGGAGCAGTCTGCCTCCTGAAGTCCATCCCTGGAGGTTTTCAAACAAAGATTCAGCAGACATATGCCCAGGATGTGTGAGGAGGTTGAAGACCACCTCCAGGGTCTCTTCCAATCCTAGGATTCTATGAAAACAGGAGGTGAGCAAAGCATGAGTGACCTTCCTGGACCTCCTGGTCTAGGAAGAAGTACAAGGTTGTGCAAAGGCCTTCCTAGCCACCACTGCTACCTGCTCCTTGAGCAGGAGCCAAGAATCTAGGAGGATCCCCAAACTGCATACCAGTTCTGACTGGGGAACTCCATTCACAACCAAGGATGGTAAATTTCGAGATCCAGGAGGTCTCAAAAATCATAGCCTCTCGGTCTTGCCAGGGTTGAGCCAGAACCTGTTCTTCTCATGTAGACTGTCACAACTGAAAAAAGAACCTTGGCATCATCACTTGGACAGCCAGAGCAGAGATGTATAACTGGGTATTATCAGCATACTAATAACCCCCAGTATCTGATGGCCTCACCCACTAGCTTTATGTAAACATTAAATAGGAGCAGGCAGACAATGAAGCAACTTGCCCAGGTAGGGCTTAGGGCTAGATCTCTCCTGCTACCAGTGCTGACCAGAACCAATACTAGGAGGAAGAAAACATCCTATTCCCCACCCCAAACCCTAACCGTCCCAGAAGGGAATCATTCCAGTGGTGCCGAAGGCCATGGAAAGGTCGAGAAGGGCCAGAAAGGGGCCATGCATCAACTCTTAGGCATTCCTGTTTCCCTATAGACCCTGATAGGGTTGGAAATGCATCTGCAGGCTCTAGGAGATTCTGGTACCACAGGCAACTTCACTGAAACGATTGCATACAAATTTGCCTTACCTCCTCGGCCTGTTCAATCCCTAGTTAAGGTTGAAATCTCTTAATATTCAGGGCCCATGAGAGAGTGCATGGACTGTCATCATCAGTAAGCCTTATCATGTACAACTCCCAGCTGGTGGGTCTTCAAAACTCCACCACTTACCACTCAACAGCAGGAATTCCCTCTCTCCACATCAGACCATGCTGATATATTTAGAAAGGGGAAGCACAAATTATAATATCAGTACATTCCTGGAGACACAAAAAATCTCACAGAATGTCACCACCCAATTTCTAGTTCAGAACTGGCCCATTCCCATCTCCATTCTATGCTGGGAGAACTTTGCCTTCCCCAAGTCATTAAATCCATACTCAGGAACAGCCAGATACCTCTAGGGAGCCCGCAGATCTTCTCCTCCCACTTTTTTTGGGAAACATGGCGAACTGCATCACAAAGATGGGCCATACATTCCTCGAGGGAAGAAGAGTTGCAGCTCTGCCACAACAGCCAACTAGTTAGATATTTTGGAGTATTTTGGTTTGTTTTTTTTAATAATCATTTTACTAAAAGTTTTAATTACAGTAGTAAAAGATAATACAAACTAAAAAAGAAAAGAAAGAAGAAAGTGCTAAAAAGCAA